TAAATGTTCGAGGTTATGAATATGCTAATTACCCTGATTCAATCATTATACTTGTATTCATATCAGAATATCACTTTGCACCACATACATTTGTACAATTATTACTTGCCAATTAAAAATGTTTTTTAAAAAGGATTCAATAGTATATAAAGTAAGCAAGAACTAATAACTTACTGAGACCCACAGGGTGTTCCATTATGAAATAAGTATAGTAGGAATATAGTCCCATAAAGCAGTTCTACTCAAAGTTTGTTACTTGCTACTTGTCCACAATGAAATGTGTACAGAAATTGAGAGAAAGCATTTAAAATCTTTTATAACAATTGACATTAACATAATATCTAATCCGACATGTAATTTGGTGTCTGTTGAGTGTAATAATAAAAAGTTGGACTTGCATTTTGCATATCCTTTTATTTCCTATTAATTTATTTTTATTATATTCTACAAATATATTGATCAATGGCATATGGGAAATAAAAATAGTTCACGCTCCAGGGAGTTTAAGAAATTACTCTAAAATCTCAATTTAGTGTTAGTACTGTAGCTACTTCCAGAGCATTTAAATGTCATTCCATCAAATGTGAATGTTATTAGATTGTTTTTGAGTTTTAAAATTGTGTTCTAATAGCTTTTTTCAGAATTGTGTTTCTATAATAGCCATAATGCATACTCAAAAACCCAGACATAACCTTTGATCTAGATAGGGCAGTGTTTTCTTGTCCTCTACAAGTATTCATTTGCTTAGCCACCTTGAAATGTTCTGAAGTTATGAAATTGTCTTAAACTGCTCAAAAGCAAACGAATGCCAATAAATTTGATTTTGATGGCATACGTACACTAAAAACCTGAGAAAAAGGAAGTCGTTTCAGGGAACATAAATTATTTACATATTTTTGCATAAGATGACAGATCTGGGCTCCCATTAACAATGGAGAGGATACTTTTCTAACTTTTAATGAGCTTTTGACAAAACTAAATAATAAACCAAGAAATCCTTATACAAATGAAAAAATGTAGAAACAGACCAAAATGGGGGAGTTACTTATAGTGATATGGACAGTCAAATGTAATAGATGTATGAATTGTAGTCATATACTTTTACCATCTAATATACACTGCACAATATTCATTCAATGACTATGTGTAGAATACTAGCTAAGGCTAGGAGCTCTTTTTTCATAGCCTTCACTCTTTAACTCAAGCTTATGGACGAACAGGCAAAAGTGAATAAAACAAGGAACTCAGATATATTTATCTTTGTCTGTATAATATTCTTTTGAACCACAACCTGCTATTTATTAATCATTGGATTTTAAGAACAAAGTCAGTGTTGTAAATTGGCAAAAACATCAGCTCAAGTACAAAAGGACTTGGGCTCTATTTCTAGCCTCTTCTTCTAGCTGAGTGGCCTTGGGCAAGTCATAATCTCACCACTAGTTTCTGCTTTTTTCCATCTGTTAGATGATAAGACTGGATAAGATGCCACCTGAGATCCATTTAGGAGCTCTGTCCATAAAAATTTAAGTTAAAAAATTATAAAAAGATCTTTTTGATTGCAATTATCTTGTGAAAAACCTTTCTGGAAAATTGAAAGGAAAGTGCTCTTTGTTTCATAGTGCCAATGAACCTTTTGAAAATGACCATCCATTTACATAAACCTGATATATAAATATAATTGAAAGTAAAAATATAAATGTATATACTATTTTAAAGTTTATTTTATGCATAATTTAAATTCTATTTTCAACCAATATATTCAAGACTAATACTGCATTCATTTCAAAGAACAGAATTACTTAAATAACACTCCCCAATGTCATATTCTTTCCGTGAATACAGATTAAGGAATGACACTATCCAATATGCTACTGACTCTGTGAATACAAATTAAAGAGTTGGCCTTGTTGTTTGAATTTGGATTCAGAAAATAGCTTACCAGGCAATCCCTTATGTACTGAGCCCTGCGTATTTATGGTACACCATTTTGAGCAGCTGCAATGCATTCAGTACTCAGGGAATTTGGAAATGACTTTGAATTTGGATAAACTGGTGCACTGATGCCTGGAGAAAATTCTAAGATCCATACAGTACCTGAGACAATGGCGTAGACTGTGATTATTAACCTGATCAAGGGCAAAGGGGTATTGAATATTGAGCAAATTCCAACCCATTCATAGGACTGTCATGTGCTGTGGCCCATTCATTGGTAAGCTCTGGGTTGATGAGGAACTCCAAAGCTCTGGGGCATGTATTTCTTGTATAACTTGAGTAGTTCTAGACATGTGGGACTCAGAAATCACATCATAAGAAAGTTGTTCATTTCTCGATTCTTTTTCAATTCTGATTCTTCCCAGTAAAAAGACTCAGTCTGGTGCTAGTGTGCTTCTAACTCTTCCATTAATTATTAATTCCCTTTGCAACAGAGTCAAGCGGGAGCTCCAAAGCCTTCTGCAAACAGTATCTAGCTATAATTTGAAAACATTAGTTTGTTCACTGTTTTTATAGTAACCTTCTATTTACGGCAAGTAATACTGGCCTTTTAGTTGTGGTAACAACACAAAGTTATTTTTTTAAATAGATTTATTTAAGCCCCAGAGGTATGTTTATTTAGAAAAAAAATTAAAATAAGTAACAACCTATGACTGTCAAAAATTTCTAACATTTGGTATTTCAAATAATTGAAGCTTGAGAAACATTGGACTGGTGGAAAATACACTGAGCTGGAAGATAGGAAAATTAGTCACTAAATATCACGTTAACCCCATCACTAATTATTAGATTGTCCTTTGGCAAGATGGTGAATCTTTCATGTCTCCATTTCCTCATTATCCGTTAAGTGTAATGATATTTGCCAAACTACTTTTGGGTGACAATGTGAAGATTAAATGATAAATGGTGAAATACTATGAACTGGAAGTTATATGTAGATAAGGTTCATTATTATGTATCTGAAATGTCCCTTTGTTTTTTAATTTATCGCCTCACAGAAACAAAAACAAGATCAAAACTATTTAAAGAAGAATAATATTATCTCTGTTTTTTTCTCTAGGACCATTACAGTTATTGGTGGTGGTAGTGATGATGGTGGTGGTGATAGTGGGGTGTGTGTATGTGTGTGTGCGTGTGTGTGTTTATGTATATGTCTGTGACAGAGAGAGAGGGAGATTGACTTCACTGATTCAGTCTCTATATGTAAACTATTCCTAAATATTAAGACTCTAGTCATCTTTTCCAGATTATATTTTAGTTTTGCTATTTCCCACAGTACTCAAAAGCTTGAAAAGTAAACTAGGTTTAAAATGAAACTAATAATACATCATATTCACTCCAAGTTTTAATAAAAGTATCACAACCTATCTGAATATTTAGTTATTAAAAATACAGAAATTTAGTTGCACACAAAAATTATTTCTTGACCTGAAACAATATTTGGATTCTTGTTTGTTGTACTTGTTTATTGTTTTTAAAACCATAAATATCTAATAATATGATCTCTTTTCACAAAAGATATTTTACTGTTACATAATACCATTTTCTATAGACTTCAGGATTTCTTTTTCTAATTTAATCTCTGGCTTATCCTTGAAACTAAAGTTTCTGTTTGGTTAAAATATAATAGTTCAATTAACTATCTGGTACATTTTGATATTAATGACTAATCTGTCAAATTTTTGACTATTTTATTTGAGACATAAATACAACTAAGTTCTAAATTATTACTTCATTATATAAAATAGAGAAAATTGATACACACAGAAATAACTCTAGTAATTGTGGTTTTGTTTCCCATTCTATTAAGCAAAGCTTATTTAAGCATTATTGCTGCTGAAATAGGAGATGATAGACATCATAATCTTATTTGTATATAAATATTTAGGCTTGGTCTAGGACAGCAGTTCTCAAACTTAAGCCGTCATCAGGATCACCTGGAGGGCTTGTCAAAACACAGATTTCTTGGCCCATTCTCAGATTCTGCTTCAGTAGTTCTGTGATGAGGCCTGAGAAATTGTGTTTCCAATAAGTTCCCAGGTGAGGTTAAGGCTGATGTTGCATTTCTGGGACTATACTTTGAGACTCGCTGGTCTAATGGAAGGCAGTAGACCAGAGTAATAAATTCCATGGACTTTGGTGATAGGCCCAGATTTCTGCCCTGACTTTGGCACTTATGAGCTGTGTAACTTGGGTAAGTTAGGGATCCATTTTGTCATCCATAAAATGGTAATTATATCTCTTAAGAATATTGAATGAAGTAATGTATGTTAAGTGTTTGGAACTATGCTTAGCATATTATGAACTCTCACTAAATGCAATATCAGTAACTAATTGTGATGGTAGTAAGAGTGGTAGTCATAGAAGTAGTGGTTAATGGTAATAAAAAAGAATATACACATTTGCCTTAGTTCAATTGCATTAAAAGTCTTTTAGTAGGCTGGACGTCGTGGCTCACGCCTGTAATCCCTGCATTTGGGAGGCCAGGGCGGGTGGATCATTTGAGGTCAGGAGTTAGAGACCAGGCTGGCTAACACGGTGAAACGCTGTCTCTACCAAAAATCCAAAAAAAATTAGCTGGGCATGGTGGCGGGCACCTGTAGTCCCAGCTACTTGGGATGCTGAGGCAGGAGAATGGCATAAACCCGTGAGGCAGAGCTTACAGTGAGCCGAGATCATGCCACTGCACTCCAACTTGGGCAACAGAGCAAGACCCCACCTCAAAAAAAAAAAAAAACAACAACAAAAACAACAACAACAAAGAAAGAAAGTGTATTAGTCTTTCTAAGGAATGAGGGACAGAGAGCTTGGCTTTCAGTGGTCATTTTGTCTGTGATAAACATTCTGCACAATGCATCAGTAAAAAGAAGTAATGCCTCTAGTGAAAGAACTTTCAAGAGCACTTTGGAGATTATGATCTACATTGCAGTTTAAACAAAAGTTTCTCCATGTGTACAATGTTTCTCAATACTCAGAACTTACCACATTTGTTTCTTCCCTTCCCTTAGCAACAAGAGCAAGACCCAACAAACCTATACATCTCAAATCTCCCCATTTCTATGGATGAGCAGGAACTTGAGAATATGCTGAAACCCTTTGGACATGTCATTTCCACAAGAATACTGAGAGACGCTAATGGAGTCAGCAGAGGTGTTGGCTTTGCCAGGTAAAATTCTTTCTTTATATGTAATCGATCTTTCCTCATTGTTCTTTTAAAATTCCATTCCTTTTTTAGTACTAGAGCCCAAAGCAATAGAATATACACAGAAAAAAAAAATTAAAAGTAGCTTATCAAATCTGTCATCCCTTTGTGTCTTTGCTTGGAGCTAAAGAATTTCAATGTAATTATGAATAAATTGTGGTTGTTAAAATGTACGTAGAATGTGTTTATGTGTCTTGAGTCACAGTAACATACATACTCAGTTCCCAGTCCTCTCTGTGCCTGTAGATCAACAAAATCAGATGCTGCCAATACCTGACAGAGATAATAAATGCCCAGTACCCCAAAGCAAAACAGCCCATGTGGTGAACAAAGTATCTAAATGTTTTGGCATTGATTTCCAAAAAAGGGTGCTAGCATTTCTCAGTAAAGAGAAAATAAAAGAAAGGAAACATTTAGAGAAACAGGAATTACTGAGAAGACCCAATAAACCCAGAAATACAAGGGAGGTCAAGAAGCCATTTGCATTTAAGAGACCCTGGCTATGTGTTTTTGATATTTTAGGCAGAACAGGGGAAAAAAAATGTATTCCTTTCATTGTAAGAAAAGGAAGAGTAATTTTCATTTTAACTTCGAAGGAATGTTTACAAAAGAGGATCTCAGCCAGGAATGGAGTTTAAATAGTTGTACCTGCTGTGCTTTCATGAAAAACAAAGCTAAAGAAACCACAGAGTGAAAGAAACTGCTCAAAGACAATGAAGAAAAATAAAAGTCTTGTCTCTATGGCTTGGTTTATGTGTGTCTCCAGCTGATTTAACATGGATGAATGGATGGATGTTAAGTGTTATGTGGAAGTCAGCCCATTGCAGACAAGTTTGTTCATCTAGGATAAACTCTGCTGTCACTTGAAAAACCATTCCAAGGCCAGGAGCGATGGCTCATGCCTGTAATCCCAGAACTTTGGGAGGCAGAAACGGGCAGATCAAGAGGTCAGGAATTCGAGACCAGAAAAAAATGAAAAACCATTCCAAACTAACTTCCATTAACTCACTTTAGAAGATAAAAAATTGCCATGTATATGTTAACTAATCTCTAACTCTATTTCCTTGGAGTTATGGTTGTGGACCACATGTGAAAATTCTTCTTATTCTCTATAATGTATACATAGTAAACCAGTAGACATATGCAAGGTACATGCTTGATGATTTGAATAGAAATAAACAGAATCAAGAAAATCTCCCTAATTTGAATGTGTGCATATGAGGTATTCAGGCTTTCAGGACATTGACACCTGTTGATTTTCATGGCCAAGGCAGAGCCTATGACACTAGTTGGATCTCTGAATTTAGCCAATGTAGTCATTCTTTTATAGTGTATAACTGGCTATTGGAGGTCTGAGCAATGTGGGAGTTCACTGAACCAGCTGCCATATTTCACTTTACATACCATGCACATTCCTTTGGTTCTTCCCCCATCCTCTGCCCTCCAAAAACTCTCCAATAAATTAGTTTCTCCTTTATTTGAACTCCTGCTGGGAAATAAATGCATTTCAAATTCATTAAGAGAACATATTTCCAAAAAGACCTACAGTGATTTTTTTTTTTCTTTAAACAAAGGATGTGTTGGTACAAAGTATATTCGTTTCCTAAGTCTGGCATAATAAAATGTCACAGAACAGTGGCTCATATAACATAAATTTATTTTCTTACAATTCTGGAGGCTAGAAGCCAGAGATCAAGGTGTCTTTATAGCTGGCTTCTTGTGACACCTTTCTTCTTGGCTTGTAAATGGCTGTGTGCACCCTCTGTCCTCACATGGCTTTCCTTCTGTGCATTCCTGTGTCTTAATCTCTTCTTATAAGAGCACCAAGTCATACTACATTAGGGCCCACCCTAATGGCCTCATTTTAACTTAATTCCCCCTTTAAAGACCCTGTCTCCAAATACAGTCACATTGTGAAGCATTGGGAGTTAGGACTTCAACATACGAATTTTGTAGGGGACACAATTCAGTTCATAACACAAAGATTGAACTATTCATTTCTCTCCCGTTTATCTTTTCTATACAATGAGAGTTTGCTTAAAATGAAGCATACTTTTCTTAAGGACAGAGTCAAGTAATATATATTCTAAAAGGCAAAACTATAATGCTGGTATATGAGATCATGAAAGAATAAAACTTACAAAGTTATTTTTCTTTAGGAACTGAGGAAGGATGGGAATTTTACATTTTATCTCTGTTGTGAATGCAGTCTCTCTCTCTCCTCCATTGCATTGTGCATATAGAAGCCACAGTGAGCGCTTCAATGTTCAAATCTCATCATGTCAGGGTCCTGCTTACAATCCTTCAACGTTTCACTTGCCAGCCTCTCCAGCATCATTCTTGATACTGCACACCATCCTGGCTTTGACTCTTTCTGTCTCATGTTCAGGCAAAAGCCACCCTTCTTGCCTGGTTATACTTTGCATGGCTCTTCTCCTGACTTCTGCCTACTCATCTCTCAGGCATTGGATTAAACATCTTTTCTTCAAAGAATTTTTCACTGACCTCCAATCTTTGGCTTTAGACAAAGTTAGCTCTTGTTACAGCTCCTATAAAAGTTTTGATCACAATTACAATGAATTCATTGTTTAATCTCTGTCTTCACCAAATGGATTGTACATTTCCTTAAGTCAAGTTTTCTTTTTCATTGTTGGATGGATAACTGGATATGTGGCTAGTGGATTTCGTGATTACCATTCTGTGAAGTTTCAGAATAGCTAAATTCACTGGTCTTTTACAGCTTTGAGCTTCAAATATGAATTAGCAGTCACATTACAATTCTGAAATTTAGGTCTCTGTACTCTAAATAATATCTTTTCCAATTTCAGAAAGTGGTATGTGGACTGAAAAGGCAAACATAGTTTCAAGACCAGTCACTGATTTCTTATGCCTAAGAAATAAAAATGAAGTGTGAGTCTGACTCTCTTTTGAAAGAAGCCAGGAAACCGACACAGAAAAAGTATTTCATTCTCCATGTATCTTAGACTTTAACATTTGAGGATCAGAATCCCACATGATTAACCTAATTTAATGGGGTGAGAAAATATCGTTAGCTGTACCATAAATAGATCTGCCCAAATTCCTACTTTGCTGTATAACATTTGCTGTGCATTTTCTCAAGCAATTATGGCTTTTGCCTTAACTAATTTGATCATTCACAACTTAATCCTTGCACAAATGTTTCTGCTTTTAAGAATATTATCCTGTCCCTTTTCCACTCAGCTTTTCTCATCTGAAATTTTCCCTCTGAACCACAAAACAGAGATGATTTCAGTCACCATTTCTTGATTCTTCCAAGAATAGTACATAGCAAGTGAGAGAAATTATTGTATTACATAAAGATGTCTTGGGACAGTGGTTCTCAAAGTGTGGTTCCCAAATCAGCAGCTGCAGTGCTTCCTAAAAACTTGCTAGAAATGCAAATTTCCTGCCCCCAACCTACCGAATTAACAATCTGGTGGTGAGGGTGTTCAGCAGTGTGTAATCTGTGTACTAACAAGCACCTTAGATGACTCTAAAAGCACCCTAAAGCTTAAGAAGCTTTGCCTTACGGCATTAGTACTTGTTCTTAGGACCATCTGAATGATCTGTGAAAACTCTGATTGCTGGGCCCACTCTTAAAGTTTCTGATTCAATTGGTTTGGGGTGAGACTCAATTATTTGCATTTCTAACAAGTTTCCAGGTGATACTTACACTACAGATAAGGGAACCACCCTTTGAGAACTACTGCTTTGAAGTTGTCTGTGATTTTTCCAGGTGGAGTTGATTCCTGTTGATGCCTGATTTACATTGTTTTACTTTCTCAAAATTACTAATAAGGAACTATCCCCCTTCCTGTTCCTCATGCCTTCTTCTTTATATCTGTCCAGTACTTAGAATATTGACACATAATTGAACTTGAGCAAATTTCTTATGATAAATAAATGAAATCACTTTAAGGTTTGGGGTTTTTTAAAAATATAGCCATATGCAGAAAGACATTTGATGATAATGATAAACCAACTGTAAGATAGAGTACTGGAATATTAGAAAAATCTTTGGTAGCACCAGCCCAACTAGTATTAGCTCACAAATTTTTTCTTCCTGTAGGAGTTTACAGTTCCACAGGCATTATTAAAAGAATATGCTGACTGTGGCCAGGCACGGTGGCTCACGCCTATGATCCCAGCACTTTGGGAGGCCGAGGCGGGTGGATCACGAGGTCAGGAGATCCAGACCATCCTAGCTAACACGGTGAAACCCCATCTCTACTAAAAATACAAAAAATTAGCCGGGCATGGTGGCAGGTGCCTGTAGTCCCAGCTACTCGGGAGGCTGAGGCAGGAGAATGGCGTGAACCCGGGAGGCAGATCTTGCAGTGAGCAGAGATCGCGCCGTTGCACTCTACCTTGGGTGACAGAGCAGGACTCCGTCTCAAAAACAAACAAACAAAAAACCCAAAAACAAAACAAAACATGCTGACTGGGTGCGGTGGCTCACACCTGTAATCCCAGCACTTCGGGAGGCCAAGGTGGGCAGATCAAGAGGTCAGGAGTTTGAGGCCAGCCTGGCCAACATGGTGAGACCTCATCTCTACTAAAAATACAAAAAATTAGCCAGATGTGGTGGCTCATGCCTGTAATCCCAGCTACTCGGGAGGCTGAGGCATGAGAATCGCTTGAACCTGGGAGGTGGAGGTTGCAGTGAGCCAAGATCACACCATTGCACTCCAGCCCGCAAGATAGTGTGAGACTCCTTCTCAGACAAAAAAAAAAAAAAAAAAAAAAAAAAGAGAGAAGAAAAGAAAGAATGTGCTTATTTATTTAATTTGGAGAATACCCAGTCAATTGTTGTGTCTAGTAAATTGTTGTACATATCTCTTGAATTTATGACTATCTCAATTCAGAAAACCTGAATAATTCTTTCAGTGGACTTCATTTTGAATGTTACTATTGGTGACTTCTAACCATCAGATGTGATCCTT